AGTAACTACTAGTAACTACTAGTAACTACTAGTAACTACTAGTAACTACTAGTAACTACCAGTAACTACTGATAACTACCACTAAATACTAGTAACTACTAGTAACTACAAGTAACTACTAGTAACTACCACTAGCTATTAGGGAGAAGACACAATACTACATATTACACAGAGTGTATATTACCGGTGCACTTGTGGCTTTCCACCATGAAGTATATACCACTCTGCCGGTTGTAAATATATACTCTGTCGGTTGTACACACTACTCTGTCGATTGTAGGTGCTATTATCTGTCGGTTGTTAAACATTAACTCTGTCGGTTGTATGTACTGCTCTGTTGGTTGTAAACATTTTCTCTGTCGGTTGTACGCACTACTCTGTCGGTAGTGTATATTTTAATACTCTGTCGGTTGTACGCACTACTGTGTCGGTTGTACGTAATATTCTGTCGGTTGCAAAGATTTACTCTGTCGGTTGTCAGCACTACTCTATCATTTGTAAAATTTACTCTGTCAGTTGTACATAAAACTCTGTCGGTTGTACGCACTACTCTGTCGGTTGTACGTAATAAACTGTCGGTTGCAAAGATTTACTCTGTCGGTTGTCAGCACTACTCTATCAGTTGTAAAATTTACTCTGTCAGTTGTGCACAAAACTCTGTCGGTTGTACGCACTACTCTATCGGTTGTCAACACTACTCTATTAGTTGTAAAATTTACTCTGTCAGTTGTACACAAAACTCTGTCGATTGTACGCACTACTCTGTCGGTTGTATGCACTACTCTGTCGGTTGTAAACATTTACTCTGTTGGTTGTACGCACTACTCTGTCGGTTGTACGCACTACTCTGTCGGTTGTACGTAATACTCTGTCGGTTGCAAAGATTTACTCTGTCGGTTGTCAGCACTACTCTATCAGTTGCAAAATTTACTCTGTCAGTTGTACACACAGTACACAAAACTCTGTCGGTTGTACGCACTACTCTATCGGTTGTCAGCACTACTCCATCAGTTGTAAAATTTACTCTGTCAGTTGTACACAAAACTCTGTCGGTTGTACGCACTACTCTGTCGGTTTTATGCACTACTCTGTCGGTTGTAAACATTTACTCTGTCGGTTGTACGCACTACTCTGTCGGTTGTACGCACTAGTAGTCGGTTGTACGTAATACTCTGTCGGTTGCAAAGATTTACTCTGTCGGTTGTCAGCACTACTCTATCAGTTATAAAATTTACTCTGTCAGTTGTACACAAAACTCTGTCGGTTGTACGCACTACTCTGTCGGTTGTCAGCACTACTCTATCAGTTGTAAAATTTACTCTGTCAGTTGTACACAAAACTCTGTCGGTTGTACGCACTACGTCTGTCGGTTGTATGCACTACACTCTGTCGGTTGTAAACATTTACTCTGTCGGTTGTATGCACTACTCTGTCGGTTGTAAACATTTACTCTGTCGGTTGTACGCACTACTCTGTCGGTTATGTATATTACTCTGTCGGTTATGTACATTACTTTGTCGGTTGTACGCACTACTCTGTCGGTTGTGTACATTACTCTGTCAGTTGTGCGCACTACTCGGTCGGTTGTGTACATTACTCTGTCAGTTGTACGCACTACTCTGTCGGTTATGTATATTACTCTGTCGGTTATGTACATTACTTTGTCGGTTGTACGCACTACTCTGTCGGTTGTGTACATTACTCTGTCAGTTGTACGCACTACTCTGTCGGTTGTGTACATTACTCTGTCAGTTGTACGCACTACTCGGTCGGTTATGTACATTACTCTGTCAATTGTACGTACTACTCTGTCGGTTGCAAAGATTTACTCTGTCGGTTGTAAATATTTACTCTGTCGGTTGTACGCACTACTCTGTCAGTTGTACGTAATACTCTGTCGGTTGCAAAGATTTACTCTGTCGGTTGTCAGCACTACTCTATCAGTTGTAAAATTTACTCTGTCTGTTGTACACAAAACTCTGTCGGTTGTACGCACTACTCTGTCGGTTGTGTACAATACTCTGTGAGTTTTACGTACTACTTTGTCGGTTGTAAACATTTACTCTGTCGGTTGTACGCACTACTCTGTCGGTTGTATGCACTACTCTGTCGGTTGTAAACATTTACCCTGTCGGTTGTACGCACTACTCTGTCGGTTGACGTACTACTATGCCGGTTGCAACATTTACTCTGTCAGTTGTATGTACTACTCTGTCGATTGTAAATATTTACTCTGTCATTTGTACCCACTACTCTGTTGGTTGTAAATGTTTACTCTGCCGTCCCCGGGCTCTGTCGGTTGTACCCACTACTTTGTCGGTTGTGTACATTACTCTGTCAGTTGTCACTACACTGTCGATTGCAAACATATACTCCGTCGGTTTTACGCACCACTCGGTTGGTTGTATTAAACATTACACACTACTGAAACGTTCCTTTCGCCTGACAGCATAGCATAGCCGACTGAAAGTTCATTTTCTTTTTTCTTTTTTTTTCATTTGTTTGATTTTTGATTTCGTTTTACTGAAAAGGAACAAATGAACTAATTATGGCGTCGGAATCAACAGGGGCTCTGGGTAGCTCTTTATTCCACACTGTACCCTCTTGCTTACAGGACAGTAAATGCCGTTAATCAGTTCAATAATTACATAGGTGTTGTTCCTTTCTTTCTTACTTAACTTTTATGCTACTCTATTTAATTTGTTGTTATATTGAATGTTTTGGTAATGAAATCTTCATGTAGGAGACAAAGTCAATAAATATGATAACAAATATTCAAGGTGGTCGATCAGCGGGGTTTTGATGTACCCTTTTGTTCTGGGTAAATTTCCGGTTGGCTATTTATATGTCAAATCAGTTATCAAAACATAACTCCTTTAAATATTGGGTTTTCTTATTTGAGCGACGTTCTACTTGCCTTAACATCCTTTTGTATTAACCAAGGGAAAATTATCTAATTTTAGCGCATTCTCTCTTGTATTGACTTAATTTTTCAGAAAGCTGCAAATACCAAAATGATTTTGTGTGCGTGCTTGATTTAAAAAAACACCTCAACAAAACACTGAGGGTGGTGGATAGGTGGGGTTCTCATACACTACCCTTTTTTGTCTGTGTAAATTTCCAGGCATTTGATTGAGTGTGAGTAAATTTACTGGCTAATTATTAGAGTGTGATCATCTAACTGCTTGACTTCTACAAGGTCAACACTAGGGACTCTTTCATCATTTCGTATAGCTCTTTATTCCACGAAAAACCACTTGATAAGGGTGATACAAACAGTGGTATTTTTTCACGTATGCGATGTTACATGCCGTAACATCCTTTCATAGTAAAGTTATTTTCCAGAAGGTGTTTTATTAAAAAAAAAAACAAAAAAAAAAACAAAAGGAAAACACTCAGTGTGGTAGATGGGTGGGGTTCTCATACACTGCCGTTTGTTGTCTGTGTAAATTACCAGGCTAGAGGAAATTTACTGGCTGAATTAGCAATTGTTTGTCGGAGTGTGATGATGTAACTGCTTGACGTCTAGTTCTCAAACTCATTAATAATTCATTAAGAAAATACAAAGGAAATTAATGTTTAATGAGTGTTTGGAAATCGGATGAAACACTGCTTAGTATTTGCATCCTTAATTTCTCCTTCAAAAATGATTTTGTTTGAGAAGAAATATCAAACATTCGACACAGTGTTTCATCACCAGATGAAACACCTCGAAGTTCGTCAAAAATACTCCGCTGCGCGTCATATTTTCAACTCTCTTCTCGGTGTTTCATCTGGTGATGAGACACTGCATCTCATGTTTGATATATTACATCAACACTGGGTGCTCTTTCATAATTTGGGATAGCTATTTATTCCACGGAAAACCAGTTGAAAGGATAAGGGTGATATAAACTGAAGCACTTTTTTTTTCCCCTATGGGATTTTATATGCCCTTCATAGTAAAATTATTTTTCAGAAGGTCCTGAATACCTATCTTATTTCTTGCGGGTGTTTTATTGAATAAAAAATAAAATAAAATGAAATGAAACAAAAAAAAAGAGACTCAATGTGGTAGGTGGGTCTAGATCAACACTGGGTGCTCTTTCATAATTTGGAATAGCTCTTTATTCCACGGAAAACCAGTTGAAAGCATAAGGGTGAAACAATCAGAAGCAATATCTATATTTTTTTCACATAGGGATGTTATATGTCTTAACATCTTTTCAAATTAAATTTACTTTCCAGAAGGCTGCAAATACCAGAATAAATTTTGTGCGCGTGCCTTTAGATGTTCATTAGCCCTCAAGGTGGTGGATGGGCGGGGTTTTCATACACTACCAGTTTGGCTGTGTAAATTTCCACGCTAAGGGGAATTTACTTACATATTGTGTGTGGGTGTTAATTTCCTGGCTCAGATGAATACACACGTGAAATGCACATGTGTTCAGTGCAAAAAAAAACCATATAAATATGGTTTTATATGTTCATTAGCCCTCAAGGTGGTGGATGGGCGGGGTTTTCATACACTACCAGTTTGGCTGTGTAAATTTCCAGGCTAAGGGGAATTTACTTACATATTGTGTGTGGGTGTTAATTTCCTGGCTCAGATGAATACACACGTGAAATGAACACGTGTTCAGTGCAAAAAAAACCATATAAATACCAAGCGACTCCTTTTAGACAATCTAGGCTTGCTATTGCGCCAATAATGGATCGATCAGAACAAGACGTAAGTTCATTTTTCGGAGATCTTTCGCGAAATCTGGAGGAGGTATGTTCTTGGCTGCGAAGCAGTTCTGGTGCGGACCACTCTCCCTCCACTTCTTTTCATGGCGCAAGAAATGCACTTCAGTCTCTGCGTTCGGCAGATGCAACATTAAGTGGCGACATGTCCAGTTCATTTAGTCGTTCGTCGAATCCACAAAGCGCCGGTACAGAACCAAGGCGGAATAGGACCCTACCATCTGTAGCACGTGGACGTGGCTCATCGCACAATTGGTCTTCCCGGCGTCAATCCACGTTTCCGTACGGCCGCGGAACGAACGCCCGAAAACCCAAAAATCCTCGGCGATTCGAAATGAAATTAATGGTTATAGACTGTATACCCGAACTTCTTTCCGACAACAGTATTACAAATTACAGCGGGGATACAGTCGTCGAGAGCTCTTTAACTCTGTTGAAGGACGAGTCGCCAAGTGATGTGAAGGCGAAGATTCTACGGTTAATCAGAAAACAGTTTCCCGACTACGAGGGCCAGTTTTTCTTCGCCTCGCGTAGGAACAAAAATCGTCTGTCAATTACTGCGGACCAAGATCTGGACGCAAGGGGTGAGTACACTTTAAAAGGATCGGGCAGTGTGTACGTTGTTTTGGAAAATTCTCTCACAATCAGCGAGGATGAGGTGAGTACTACTTTTTTCTGTGCATGTTTTTGTCCGGGCCCGGATCTCGCGCAATACCCCGAAACTGCCTTGAACAAGTTAAGTTTACGTTCTGGATCATTCATATGCCGTATGAATCAATCCATATTAAACTATATGACATGATTTCTGCTTAGTGATAAGTACGTCAAGACGCAGATTACAAGCAGAAATATACTAGTTTTCTTTTATAGGTTGATAGACCGTGCACTTTCATTAATATGGCCTCATGGATTTTGCAAAATGTAATTGAGAGCTGGGCACAGGGATTTAATATCATAATTAGGAAAAACATTAGGCCAAGTTTTTCTTCCAAGATATTTCTTTCATTAATAACTGTGTTGTTTGTACGGATGAGAGAACTCGACCAATGAGTTTAATGGCATTTGTCAAAATATTTCATAGCTAGCGGTAAAGTAAAAAAAGAACGAGAATTCAGACAAGGGTTCTGATTGGGTGTGGTTTTTAAGGAAGGCCTGTTATTGGTTTTCTGTCCCGTTGACTCAACTTTGATTCAACTTTAACAGGGTGAGCAAGATGAAACAAGTCCTGGCCAGATGGCGCAAGTTGGTGTGTCTGCAAGTACCAGCACACTAGTCTTGAAGAACGAGGACGACGGGTAAGTGATTCCTTTGTTAATTGCCTGGTTAATTATGCTATGTAAAAGGTACAGTCAACTATCCCTGGAAAAATGCCGTTGTGGAACCTTTCAATTTCTGTCTATAGTGCAGTTTCATTTCTTTTTCTCCAGCCGGGCATTACTTACACAATGTTTTAATGGTTCAGGACGTTCAGGATAGTGACAATTTTCCAAAAAAAAAAATTGTAGTACTCAAGACAATAGGGATCCTTTTGATATAGAAAAACTAAGAGCCATAATGGGTCTTGAAATACATAACTAGACCTTTTCAATGTTTGTCTGGGTGAGTGTGTGGGGTGGGGATGTTTGTGCCCCCACCATGCATACAAGCGTCTCAATTTTAAACTTTTAGACTTTGATTACGTATACTCTTCTGCTTATCCAATTATATGTCAAAAGTTGAAAAAACCGTGGATTATAACTTCTATGACACTGTTAAAATTGTCTTGGTAATTAACTAAAACCATCTTAAGCCCTAGTAATCACGATTTTCCTGCACTAGTCAACTCAAACGTTTTATGTCAAATACGTTTGCACTGACGAATCCAACATAAAAACAGATACTTCTGGTTAAACAATTGACGGCTGAGAGAATCTTGCCTAAAAATTAACTCATAAAGGACATAATGAGGTTTTTTGTTTTGAACAGTTTCGTCAGGAAACAATGCGACAGTTAACTGAGGAAAGTAAATCTGAAAGTGGAATTAATCTGGGTTTTCTTAAATTATCTACGTTTTGTAAACTATAGCGTTGTTAAGAGCGAGACTAAGACGAAGACATGGATCATTTCACTAATCCCCGATTGATTTATCTTATTTGACTGTAAATGAAAGGAAAAACGACTGTGATCACATTCTTTGAAGTGCTGTAACCTGCAAAGCCCAAATTTTGCATTATTATAGGCGTGGCTGGTCACGTGAATTCTAAGGTAAAAATGAAGAAAGATTTGGAAAAAAAACAAGATCAAATCATAAAACCCCGCATGTAACGAGGACCATGCCTTAATTCACCTGAGCGGTTGCAACGTGCCGTTGGGCACATTGACAGATATTTTAAAGAATTCATTTACTCAAGGGGTTTAAGGCCCGGTTCAGAGGTTGGTCCAGAACGTACGGATTGGCAATATCTATCGCTAGGAGAAGTAGAACAAATCCTAAAAACTATATCTTGGGGCTTTCTGGTGCCTTAACGTTAAATATGATAAAGAAGGAAATTGGCAAATTGGCGGCGAATTAACTTTGTTTGGATAAACAGATAAAAGCATTTTTGAGAGAGGATAAAAATACCCAACTCTCTTATACGAATGAAATGAATGTACCTGAATTCGAAATACAAAATTATGGTTGTAAATAAGCTAAAATCAAATTTGGGCATTTGAAATGTTGTTTTACTTCATAATTCCAAACGTGAAGTGTTAGAAATATTTAATATTATGAATCAGATAAATATTATTGCTGGATTTCATTTCTTTATGATTTCTGTATGTGTGGCAAATTTTGATTCAGCTCCAATATAGTTTTTGCCGAAGTTACATACATACATACATACATACATACATACATACATACATACATACATACATACATACATACATACATACATACATACATACATACATACATAAACTTTATTTATCCTCGGATTTTAGTGTAGCTTACATAGCTAGTATCTCCGAAAACCCCTTAGTCCCAGGCCATTGAAAAACTGGTTGAAAAACTGTGACATTATCTTCTATAAGCCCAAACTTGAGTAAACATTGAAGATTTTTAGCGTTTTGGCTGAGTTTGTGCTTTGGGAATTGTCTATTGTTTCTAGTCTGTCATGATACAGCATTCTTGTTCAGCACGCGTGCAATGACCGCGCTTGGCTGACTTCCGAATGCTCACCGAGATATAATAATTTTGGTACAGTGAGACAGGCCATCGCGTGATACATAGAGGTTTAAGTCACAATTTTTAATCAATTCTCGTGCTTCTTGTGCCTTTGCAAAAAAATCAAGAAGTGCTACACACTAAATCTACTTACTATTAAAAAAATATCATTTTTTCATAGGTTTAATGCAAGCCAATAATTAAACCAACTCGTGACGGGAATATCTCGGTGAGCATTCGGAAGTCAGCCAAGCGTGGTCATTGCACGCGTGCTGAACAAGAATGCTGTATAATGACAGACTAGAAACAATAGACAACTCCCAAAGCACAAACTCAGCCAAAACGCTAAAAATCTTCAATGTTTACTCAAGTTTGGGCTTATAGAAGATAATGTCACAGTTTTTCAATGACCATGAAATTCAGAGTCCGGGTAGTTAGTTAATCAATTGTGGCCCTGAAAAAATTTGAAGGAAAAAAAACTACGAATTTTTAAGAAAATGCTTTTTTCGTGAGAAGGACTCTTAAACGCTGACAAACGTCAACAAATAGCGAAAACTATAATTTCTATATGTTTGCTTTGCTCGAAATCGCGCGCATTTACAAGGCCCTAAAGCGTTTTGCTGACTTGCAAGGACCCATCTGTTATAACGATGCCCAAAATAAAGAGATGAATCTCATAGTTTATTAGATATAATCCGTGTAAAGTTTGCTTATCATTTTCGCATAAATTATGATCTAAATTTGGAAACCGCTGAATTTCTCGAATTGGGTCTTTGCGATTTTGGTGAAACTCTGTTCAGCGCAAGGCACTAATGCGCACTATGTGTAGCCGAGAGATTTTCACGAAAAAATGGCGGCAACAGCAGATTTTCGACTCAGACCTCAAAGGGGCGTGGCATTATAACCACGTGACATTTACTCCGATCGCCAAAAATTTTATGTTATATTGTAGATTAATCTATATGTTATCCATTCTATGTGTTAGACTTACGATGAAAGTAAAGGTGGGGATACCAAAGAGCTTCAAAGTAGGATGGTACCCCCCCCCCAAAAAAAAAACTGGGTCGAGTCACCTTAAATGGAAAACAACTCAAGCTTGACTGGGTGGCAAGACTTGTTTTTCCCATGCAACCTTCTCATTTTCGGCGGCAATTGCGATCGTTACTTTTGAGACTATAAATTTTACAGTTTACCTAATTTTAATATGCTCTGTTAGTTCCGGCAAACAAAAGTGAATTCGTGATTCCAGAAAATTGATCACGTGAATTGGCCTGGTTCAATCCTTTTTGTACTAACTAAACGGATCTGGCATTCCACTTGCTCGGTTGTATGTAGTTAAAACTAGTGTCGTTTATATTTAGCATAAGCAATGCATTTAAACCTTATTCCTGTACACAAATTTGTTTAAATTTATTAAGAAAATTCGAAAGCTCTAGTAATACTAACCTTTGGTCTATTTTGTTTAATCTTTTTTTTTTCATGAAGACAAGGAAAGATGTCGTGGATGTTTTCGCCGGTAAGATGTAAGTTAAGACAAAATTGAATAGCTCGCACTCAGGAGAAATCTCTTGAAGAAGATACTGAAGAATCGTTCAATCGTATCCTTTTGCCTTAACGGAAAAAATAAGAGAGAGAGAGAGAGGGAGGTCGAGAAGAGAAGTCGAGTGAGGTAGACTAATTGTGGTAAGTGCGTCTGACGGCACCTCTTTCTGCAGATTTTTTTTTAGGCTGTATATACATGCATGTTATTCAGTGACAGTAAAATTTCTATGAAACTTTTCCACTCCTAAAACTCATACACCTCCGTGGCCCTTGATTATACGCCTATGGTATCAATTTTCTATCGTTTGAACAGCATCTTTTGTCCGCGTATTACTAGATCAAACTCATCAGTGCATAAAAAATCAGTTATCGGCATAGCTTTTCAGCGAGTATGAGTATAAGTATATCTTAGTATTTAGACATTAAGATAAAAATGAACTTTTGATAGAGTCATGGATTAGTCAGGGTCGACACACCGTATGTTGTGGTGATAACTTTAGTGCTTTAGTTATATTCCTGTACTGAGCAAATGGCGATTTAGGATTAAAAGGTTATTAGAATTTTTTTCTCCTTAACTTAAATCCAAGCATCTTCAATGTTTCTTGTGGAACCCAAAGAAATGTACGTGGGCGGAACAAATCTGTCTTTACGAGATTTGTTGAACGAGAGTCTGAGGGAAGGTCGAGTAATTCCATTTTCAAGCTGGAAAACGTCTTGGAAAGAAAAATATGTCGCAGATAATTCAGCTGCAACTCCAACAGGTAAGAAAGTGGATATAACTTAAAAATAATGAGACTTGACTTCCACGACACAATTTTTATTATAATATTGTTCAAAATGGTATAATTTTGGGTCCTTGCCGTTCGACTGAAAGTTAAGAAACTTATTGGACAGGAACTATCGACATCATTAATTATGTTTTTAAATCTATTTCATGCCCCTTATATAGATCTGGAAGCAATAAGCTTTCAAAGTTGGGAGAGCGGCCCAAAATGCTCAGTGATTGGCTTAAAAAGACCCATGGATAAAGGATTTTTGGTAAGTTTAATTTTGCCTAACATGCCACTTTTTAATTGACCTTCCTCTAAATATGCCTGAATTATCTTGCACTAAAAAAATGGGGGAGGGCCGTAACCACCGTTTGGACGAATCAATTACAAGGCTGGTAGCATGATACGTTATTCTTACTAATTATCGTGAGTATTAAATTTCACAATTTTCGCGATTGAAAAAAATTGGCGAAATTTATACGCGCAAACAAAAGATTGCGCGAAATTGACCGCTCCAGAAAATACCATAACATACCATGATGCTCTTTCCTTGTCACCCCAAATCTTGCATAAGCATAGCCTTCAATTTCTCTTTGGAGTTAAAATGGTCCCATCATCGTGAAGTGGCCTATTTACAGCTACATTGATTAAATCGGGCGGTATTGCCAACCTTTAGAAAGCTGCGATGTTAGTTTTTTCTTTCAATCCTCTAGACAATGGTATTGATAATGATAATGATTATAATATTGCAATATTGCTTTTAAAGAAACAAAACATAAACCACTTTTAAGCTAGGACCTGTTTCTTCCTACATTACAGTGTAGCCAAGAAATAAAGATTGACACGAGCATTCCCGAAGCAGATCTCCTCAAACCGGAAAATGAAACCATTCATGGAGTTGAGGATTTAAGGGATGGCACCGCTTACACACTTTTCAGTTTAGTCGTGAAATCTGCCGGTAGTGAGCGATTTTATGCTTGCGTTAAAGAAGAACAGGACGAGGCTAGCGACAAATGGTAATTATATAGAATTGAATCTTAGCCTTTCGTGGCCTGATGTGCTGAATCGTTCATTTTATAACGGACAAGCACGCAAGCACAGTCAGTTGAATATAAAAATTATGGTTGATTTAGACGTTTTAACAGTTTCCTCTTTTTTTTTTTTCTTATTATGTCTTTTTTTTTCTCTGCTTTTAATAGCAGGGCATAACAGTCGCGAATTCGCACTCGCACCTTTCAATAAGCAGCAAAAAAACTTTAAAAGTCAAAATTGATTGTGATCATAGAAGGCAATTAAGTTGCTTGTGACTGTGTTTTGCGCCAGTACTCTTACTAAATTATTACAGTTATTAATGAATAGCCTTGATGTAAACTATGAAATTTCTACTTTTCAAGGGTGGTCTATGACGAGTTAACCGTCAAGCAGTTTGTTATGACTGAAGACTTACTAGAATTTCTATCTGGAGGAGAGGAACATTATGATATCCTTTACAAAATTAAGAAGAAGTTTTCACATTCATATTCCTACGAGGACTTTTAGTGGATTTTATTAGTTAAGACTGTCCTTAACGCTTGTCACTTACCTGCTTTTATGCAAAATCCTGGGATATAATCAAGAAACCGGACATACCAACAAGGGACACAAGAAATGAAATTTTTAAAGAGGTAGTAGATACTAAATCATAAACTGTCTTGTATATCAAATGGGCCTTTTGTATTAATTAATCACGTGAACTTTCGGTAAACAAGAAAATAGTTCGGTTTTGAAAAATTTTGTTTGCTCGAGCTGAAAGAACATATAAAAAATTAGGTACTAGTAGCTGAAAATTTTCTGTCGTATATCTAAAAATTAGCGATTGCAACGGTTATCTAAAAACTAGAAGGATTTAGATTGGAAAAGAACTTTTGCCACCCAGTCACCGTCGAATGGTAAAGTTTTTGAATGTCGTGAAATGTTTCCTTAAGCATTATTGGGCTCAAATCTCGTTTTAATTCATAACAGGAAATGTAAGCCCTCCAATGCATAGGGCAAAAATTTAACGCGCGACAATGTAAAAAGTTCTTAATTTACAAGGAGTTGAGTGTTTTTTATATGGAAAACTACAGTAACTCAAGCGTGACTTGCTGGCAAGTGTTGTTTTTCTCATACAAATATTTCTCCTTAGATGTGAATCCATTGGTATCCGCATGTTACCCCTTATGTTTCTCGTATGCATCCGTATGTTACCTGTATATACCCGTATGGAGTTTTAGTCACGATCGTAATTCTTCATATTTCTAATCCAATATTAATTGTATCACATTTTACAGCGTCGGAACAGATGACGATTGCGTAATCATCAAAGATATAGGTACATGTCTTTCCTTTTGTATTGAAATTACGTCAGTTTTATGAAGAGTTATTATAGACCCGCCAGTCCCCCTATACTGCGAACAGACAAAGAATTTAAAAAGAATGGTTTCAAACAAAGTTATAACAAGAATCCTGATTTGACCAGCCTGCTTATTAGGGTATTGTCGCCATTAAAATCATTATTATTTGTAGTGTGTAACACACGATTTTCCGCGTATAATTCTTTCCGTCATTCACAGTGTGGCTGATTTTTCCCGATTTTCCTTTTTACTATAGTGCATCATGAAGCCGTCTTACATAAAATGGAAAAGGCGATGAAAGACTTTATAGGGCTCGAGTCACTGAAGCAGCAATTTTTGTGTTTCACGAGAACGCAGCTGCAAAACGATAGAAGAAAACGGCTTGGACATAAGGTGAAGGACGACACACCCCTCCACCTGGTGTTCGCCGGAAACCCGGGAACTGGCAAGACCACTTTCGCCGGGCGTGTGGCAGGTATGAATCTCTTTCCAGCTTCTTTATATGACGGAGAGAAGGGGGTTTCACATGTGAATAATGGACATAGTTTAAAACAGGGAGTCAGTGAATGAAATTGGTCGATCATTTATTTAAGTTTGTGATCATATATAATAATCACGATTTTTAAAATTCTAGCATCTCTGTGGTTTAAGGAAATCATTGCAATGTTTTTAAAACTCCATTGTATCGCAATTCCAAGAAGGAAATTGAGCTCAAAGAAAATCAAACTAAATATAGAAAAATGAGCAGAAAATCCGCAGGTTTCAAATTTAGTGTGCTTTTTTTTCAGAGCTGCTATTCAGCATTAAAAAGATAAGAAAAAACAAGATCATAGAGGTACAAAGATCTGACCTAGTTGGCCAATACCTCGGGTGGAGTACTGAGAAGACACGTGCCAAGATCGATGAGGCCCGGGGTGGGGTTTTGTTCGTGGACCGTGAGGCTTATCGCCTTATACCAAGTGCTGGAGGAAAAGATTTTGGCCGAGAGGCAATTGAAGAGCTTATGGCTGTCATGGAGGATGGTGATCCCGTCATGATATTTGCCTGTTATGAAAAAGAAATGGACAAGTTTCTCGATGTTAATCCAGGGCTGAGATCAAGAATTTATAGAAAATTCATCTTCCCGGATTATTCCACCGATGAACTTCAGCAAATCTTTTACCTAAAGGCAAGTGAAAAAGGATTCACAATCAACAAAGTTGATATTAAAAGAATCCTAGAGGAAAAAACGTCCGATGACCAACGTCGGCACATGAATGCCCGATTGATGAGAATCCTGCTTCAGGAGTCAATCGAAGAAGCCAGCAACAGGCTACCTCTTGATGCTTCTTTGTTCCAGTTAACCCAAATAAAAGAGGAGGATGTTGTGGCTGCCTGTGCACGTTTGCCGACGTATTCTGGTAATAAGTGAGAGGTATAACGTAAAAATACTTTTCTTGCCGCTGCAGGTAGGGCATTCCACAACTAGTCACTCGAGATTATCCAAAAAGTTGCCCGTAATTTCTCAAAAAGTTGCTAAAAATATTCCCTCAATGCCCCACGTTCTATTATGACTTCGAGGCTTTCTGGTCATTTTTCTATATTTGGTCTGGTTTTCTTTGTGTTTAAGTCTCTTCTGGGAATTGCGAGAAAATGGAGTCGTAAAAATTTTGCAATTATGTCCTTAAAGCATCAGAGTCATGTTCGAAATTTTAATATATCGTTCGCGGGCTATTAATTATAAAAAATGTTTTGAGCCAATGAAATTATCGAATGACCTTCTGTACGCGTAAATCTTTGTCCGAGTGTTTGGAGTTTTCTCAAAAAACCACTGACCTAGCATCCCGGCTACTTTTATATTGCGCCCATGATCTGCTCATGAGGAAATACTTTTGTTTTGTTTTGTTTGTTTGTTTGTTTGTTTTTTTTTTACAGGAAATTCATAAATTGGCAACTAAAACATTGCAAAATTGGAAGAAAGGCCAGTTCAAGCACTACAAGGTGCTTCGCTATGTTAGAATTAAAAGATAACTAGACAAATAGCTCAGAAAGCAAAAAGTTGCTAGAAACGAAAAAAGTTGCTAGAAATGAATACGAGAAGTTACCAACAAGTTGTCGAGTAAGTTGTGAAAAACCCTAGCCGCAAGTTTACTTAGTGACGAGTCACATTAGATGGAAATGTTGAATATCCCTTGGTTTGTTTTTATCTTAAAATCTACCCAGGACATGTATAGAGTGATTTTACTTGACCCGTTGGATAGCAATTAGAATACTAAGCACTATTTGGCACTAATTCCCTTGTCTTCTTTTCTTTTGTTTATCTGTTGCTATTATAAACTAGTTGTTTACTGGCAAGTACAATCACTCTAATTTACTTGAAGTATGTTTTGTTAAGGTACGTCAAAATCTCCAGTATTTTGAATCGTTTCATTACTTAGATTATTTACGTAAAAGTATACACTGGGATTTGTAATTTAACGTGTGCTTGATTTGAAACATGTTTCGAACACGGACGTGCCAGTCTTGTCAAAATACTTTCCAGAATTATAGATTTCGTCTAACGAGTATTAGCAACAACATTTACTTTTCAATGATCCATGTTACAAGATTTTTCAAACAAACTCACAAACAACTCATCTGTTAATGTTTTAAGGTTATGAAAAGGCGACAGAATAAATTATTATCTTCAAGGGATTATTACAATTAATGAGTCAGTCTTCAGCATTAAGAAGATAGCAAAAAAAACAAGATCATAGAGGTACAAAGACTGCGCCTAATTGGCCAATACCTCGGGTCGAGTACGGAAAAAAAACACGTGCCAGGATCGATGAGGCCCTGGGGGGGGGGGGGGGGGGGGGGGGTTTTTGGTGGAGGGGGTTTTTCCTTTTTTCCATATGGGGGGGGAAAAAAATTTTGGGTGAGAGGAAATAAAAAAGATTTGGTGAGAAAAAGGAGGGTGATTCCCGCATTAATTTATATGTGTTAAAAAAAAAAAAAAAAAAATTTGTTAATTAAAGAAAAAGAAAAAACAAAAAAAAAAGCGGGGAAGAGAAAAACGACGCGGCGAGGGCGGGACCAGGGGGGGGGGAGGGGAGAAAAAAAAGAGGGGGGGGGGGGGGGGGGGGGGGGGGGGGGGGGGGGGGGGAGGGTTGTTCGTGGACGAGGCTTATCGCCTTATACCTAGTGCCGGAGGAAAAGATTTTGGCTGAGAGGCAATTGAAGAGCTATGGCCGTAATGAAGGATGGTGATCCCGTCATGATATTTGCCGGTTATGAAAAAAAAAAGGACAAGTTTCTCGATGTTAATCCAGGGCTGAGATCAAGAATTTATAGAAAATTCGTTTTCCCGGATTATTCTACCGATGAACTTCAACAAATCTTTTACCTTAAGGCAAGAGAAAAAGGATTCCGCTCTAGAAAGTCGATATTGAAATAATCTTAGATGAAAAATCGTCCGATGTACAACGTCGGCAAGTGAGTGCACGATTGATGAGAATCCTGCTTCACGGCAGTCAATCGAAGAAGCTAGAAACAGGCTGTTGATGCCTCTCTGTTCCAGCTAATGGTAGTAACAGAGGAGGATGTTGTGACTGTCTGTGCACGTTTGCCGACGTAATCGGGTAATAAGTGAGAGGTATAAAGTAAATTTAGTTTTCTCGCCGCTGCAGGTAGGGATTTTCACAATTTGTTCGAGATTTTCCAAAAAGTTGCAGTAATTTCAAAAAATAGTTGCTGAAAAGTTGCTCGAATAATCAAAAACTTAAAATATGCAAATTGTTCAACGAAACTAAGATTTCTTAACATTTTTGCGCAATTTTGCTGCACAACCAGCGGTGGTAAATGAATTTGTCCTCAACAGCCCAAAATCTACTATTATGCCGAGCAACGTGTGGAAAACCCTGACTAGCTTTTTTTACTTTATGGAGAGTCACCAAGTAGATGAAAAAATGGAATATTCTTTGTTTTTATCTTAAACTCTATTCTCTTTATGGAGAGTCACCAAGTAGATGGAAATATGGAATATTCGTTGTTTTTATCTTAAACTCTATTCAAAAGTCCAGGACATGTATATAGTGATTTTACTTGAAATGTTAAATAGGTAGATGTAGTAGAATACTACGCACTATTATGCACTAATTCCCTTGTTTTCTTTTATCTGTTGCTATTATTCACTAGTTGTTCACTTGCAAGTAAAATCACTCAAATTTACTTGAATAATGTTGTTGAAGTACGTACAAATAATCAGTATTTTGAATCGTTTTAGTATCCAGATTATTTACGCAAAAGTGTAAATGGTTGTAAACATGTCCTTGATTTGCTTAAGAAAATGTTTCGAACAAGCACATGCCACTCGTGAAAAAATACTTTCCAAAATAAATTGGTTTCGTCTGAAGAATATTGGCAACAATATTCATTTTTGGAAAATCCATGTTATAATGTTTTTCCAAAAAACTCTCAAAGAACTTCTCAGTTTATTATTATTATCATAAGTAATAAGTCAATTTTACATAGAAATGCAATTGAAAGTGGAGATTGTCTTACAGTTTAGGTAACAAAGATTATTTATTAATACTCGTTGTACTTTCCCTGCAATTAGTAAATCAAGAGATCATGCACGATAATCAGTGTTTTGTACGCGTTATCATTTTTTTCAAACAGAACATAGTGATAAATCAACAAAAAACGCTAATAAGATTTTGGGCTGAACGATGTACAGTGGGAATACAATTCATCCAATTTGAGGTTTAGCCGTCTTTTCTCGCCCAAAACTTAGTTCTAAGGAAAGAGTTTAGATTGAAGGTTTACATCAGTGTAAGTTAGTCCACACCTAAAGAAAATGGGAGTTGACGCGACACAATCTGTATAGAGAAATGGTGCGCAACGAGAGACCAATGGTAGCCTGAATTTCAGACGTTTCTTTCGGGAGAAAGAGACTCGAAGGGATACAGTCACAAACATTTTAATGTTCACTCTGGGCTCAGATGATTTGCTACCCAGTCTTACCCTTAACAGAATAAAATATAGACCGTTTTGTTCGCAAATTCACGTTGCCCCTTTGACTTTCTGACGTCCCAAGAACAGGAGGAAATCTCTATAAATTGAATTGACGTTAACTATTGTTTGTGCTGATGATCCATAATGTAAGAAGCTGCATGTATAAGACTCTATTACAAGAATTTTTTAAAAGAACTTCTCCTTGCAATACAAAAGCCAGTAACCGCCAGTCCCACTGTCCATCTTTTATTTATCAGTTCACTGTTTCATAATCGAGTCGGCAACATAACATGCAGTCCTAACAAATAAATCGACACCATATTCAGAACTTTGGGCCAAGGGATCCACAATGGTTCTAAGTCACCTAATTCATCGGCTGTCAACGGATTATTGACCTCGGGCACTTCCACCTCAACTGTGTCTTCATGAAGAGGGAAGGGGTTGTGCAAATCAATACCGTATGAATTGGGATCGGGTTCGAGGATGTCATGAACGCCAGTAAAACCAGCAAACCGATCAGCAATAACACCACTTATCCACATCTGATACGGTGACAGATTGGTTTCTGTACTAAGTGAGTGAAAATTCCACCCCATTCGAAATTCTTCTAGAGCCCTATTTATCCTGGGCAAAAAAACGTACTGCAAGCAGAAAAGATCTACTTCATTGGAGGGGTCTAAATGTCCTTCTTCTTCAAGATGATAAAAAATAGAAATGAAATTAGATAAGCAGCATCGCGTGGTATCTCTATGCAACCGCTCAATTCTTTGATTGTGGACAGAAGAGCCAGTCAAATGAGACGATCTGTCGGAGCCTCTCTTTGCATTCATATACCGCGCGACTTCAACATTTCCTGAACCACGATCCGAACGCACCCGAGAGGGCAATCCATACTTGCGAGTAGCTTCAATGAAATTGTCAAGGACAGTCGCAGCTTTGTTATCAATTGAGCACTTCAGAAATGTTATCAGTCGCGAATATCCATCGATGCCACCGTGAACAACAAATCCCCACCGAATTAGTTTATGTAAACCATCGATGTGCCACAAGGCGTTTGGTCCAGGAACGCTATATTTTCTTCGAACAGTGGCTTGTGTCCAACGGAGAAGAACACTAACTGGATCATGATCTCGAATAATATCCCTAACCCTATGGCGAGGTACAAAAAACCCTTTACTTCTAAGAATTCCAATTACCATGCGCTCGCCACACTCCGGAAAATTTTCTTTAATTGACTTAATTTCTTCGCCTAACTCTTCGTCAGAAACGTTAGTGAATTTGTCGTTACCAAATTCATATCCTGCTTCCTTTAGACGCCTCCATAGAGTGGTCCTGGAGATGCAAAGAGTAAAAGCTATTCGAGTCCACGAAAAGCGCCATGTTCGAAGAAATTCAACTTGCACAAGATTAAGGACCAACCGTGGCCTCCCAACTAAT